AGCGGCCGCCCAGGCAGGAGACCTAGTAGCAACACAAGCCCCAGCACCCTCAGGGCAGGAGTCATACGTCAACAATTTTCCAAGCCAACCGCGGGACCAATCCGAGCGAATAAGAGGCATGAGGCAGAAGAAAGCCTCGAGCTCCTCACGCGCTGTTGGCCACAGTGGAGCCCACGAGTGACGGCACCGCCGAGCGAACTTGCAGACCGAGGCGAAGAAGGAGAGGAGAGGGCGCTGAAGCATAGCGAGGTAGGTGCAGTGGACCAGAAGAACCTCGAGGGCTTTTCCCGTTACCTTGGGCGCCTTCAAGAAAGCCTCCAGAGTCCAACGAATCTTCCAGTATCGCTTCCCAGCAGGCCTGAAACACTTTAGTTCTCCGTTGAACTCGATCCCAAGAGCGTCCCGAACTTGGCCAGCCTCCTGGACTTCGCGACACTGCATTTTGTTGGAGTTACGAACGTTTTTGATGTTATCAAGCGACTTCTGGACCTCAATCTTGTCCGCCCCCAAGACCCCCACGTTGTCCACATACACGTAAAAGACGGGCGCGGAGCCCTTACTTATGATGAGCCCGCCCCCCCTGTCCTCCACCGCCACAGAGCCTTCCATTCCTGAAGCCTCCCGAACCAAGCGAGCATTGATACGCTGGGCCCAGAAGACCGACCAAAAGAAGCCCACGGGGAGCACAGCCATGGCGGCCCACGCAAGCCCGTCTCCAGGCACCTCCCGTCCCCGAACACGCACCAGACTTAGCTCTCGTGCGCGAACGGGGGGCAGGCAGAAATAATCGCCCAAGTCGCTGTCTATGCCAATTCTGTGGAAGCGATTGTCCACGTCAAGAGACGCCTCAAAAAGCTCAACACCTCCCTCAACCTCCAGGCGGGCGAAACTCTCGGGCGTGGCCAGTAGAGTACTAGGAGGATCCCGGAAAAGCTGGTTAGTACGTCTCGCATCGATGATAAGTCGCTGTCTTCCATCCTTTTTTCTGACAAAGAACGGGGTGGCAATCTCCTTGGGCGCAGTCGACCACCTGATGAGACCACGCCTGTGCAACATCTTCAGAAAGCGAACGTACTCGTGCCGTCGAGTGCGAAGCTTCTGGTCAAAATACGGGTTAATAGACTCGCCGTAGTCTCTCATTTGCATCACTTCCTTCACATCTCTCATCATGCCCT